TCGACCCCGACGCATGTCGGCTGGAGAGGTAGATCGGACGGCGATGGAATCTCTATTTTCGGTTCACAGAAAATCTGGATCGATCATTGCGCCCTTAGTTACTGCACCGATGGCCTTATTGATGCTATCATGGGATCAACTGGAATTACCGTTAGTAACAGCTATTTTTCTCACCATAACGAAGTCATGCTTCTAGGGCATGATGACAGGTACCATCCGTCATTTCTTGAATATTTAAACTAAAAATTAACAAAAAATTATGAATATTGTTTTGTGTAGGTATTTGGCCGATTCGGGAATGCAGGTGACGATAGCGTTTAATCATTTCGGAGAAGCGTTGGTGCAAAGAAATGCCGAGGTGCCGGCGAGGGTATATACACGTTGTCAACAATGATTTTACTGCTTGGGAAATGTATGCCATCGGCGGTAGTGCTAACCCTACTATCAATAGTCAAGGGAATCGATATACTGCGCCTGTAGACCCTAATGCTAAAGAGGTATTTTCTTCATTTTTTTGATATATTATTCCGATCATTTATTTCTACGTATTTGTTTTGATATATCTTTTTATATGTATTTTTATTAATAATAATAAACAAATCAAATCCAATCAACTAATGACACCTCTATTTTAAGTATATGAAAGAACATTTATATTTAATACCTATATATGTGGTCACTTGTTTTCATGGAATGCATGTCCATTTTAAAATTGTTCTATTTATTTAAAAATTTATATTATATATATAATATATATATATATGATTGAAGAATCCAATCAACTAATGACACCTCTATTTTAAGTATATGAAAGAACATTTATATTTAATACCTATATATGTGGTCACTTGTTTTCATGGAATGCATGTCCATTTTAAAATTTCGTGTCTATTTTATTTAAAAATATTATATATATATATATATATATATATGATTGAAGTTAATATTTTTAGATACACAATTATATATGATGGTAGATTTTAGTTTAGATTGTATGAGATTAAAGAGTAGTAAAGAGGGCGTTATGAAGTGAAGCATTGATTTGGTTTTCTTTCTTGTCTACCAATTTGGAAAAAGGGAGACTAAGAGATGATGAAATTTTATGATTGATTAATGATTTTGGTTGGGTGGTTCCTTAATCTTTTTGACTTGTGTGTCTGGCGGTGGATACGTTTTTTTTTTTTGCAAGTGGGGGCTCATTAATGATCCCCAATTTCAGTGGTGGCACGTGAAATGTACATGTACTATGTGAAAGGTCATTTTTAATTTTTTAGCTTTAAAATTTTGAAATTTCGTTTGAAATCTAAACAGTAAAGTACTATTATTAGGAATGTAAAATAATGAAATTTAATAATATAAATTTACAATTTAACGTTCAAAGATAAAGAATAAGTTTAACTTAATAAATTTTATTTTTATCAAAACTAAAATTTTAAAATAAAAAAATTAAATGCACAGCATACACAAAATACAAAGATTAATAAAAAAATGCAAAAACACTTTGTCCCCACTACATATACTTCATTTTCCAGATTTCTTATGGGCGTGTGTAATGCATTCTCTTGATGAGTGTGTGTCGTGTAAACAGGTGACAAAGAGAGTGGACACAGATGAGAGAGAATGGGCCGGTTGGAATTGGAGGACGGATGGGGACTTAATGGTAAATGGAGCGTATTTCGTGCCATCGGGAGCCGGCGTAAGTGCTCAATATGCTAAAGCTTCGAGCGTTGAGCCTCGATCGGCTGCCTACATCGAACAGCTTACTTTCAATGCTGGCGTTTTCGGCGAGGCTAGGTATGTCATCCTGAATACCCAATATTACCCCCTCTTCCTCTTCTTTGACCAATAACTGAATTACCTGTCAACGTCAATTGCTTGGTGTAATTCTTACAACGGGGCTTCAAGTTTTATTAAAATTTGATAATAACCCTTGTGCTCACTCACAAAACGAATAATAAAATTAGTTTTTTTAGAAGGGATGTTTTGTATGATTTAATGTAAAAACATACAAAAGATACGAAAATCGAAAGAGACCTCATTAAAAAAATTCTCTAACCCTAAATGAAGGGGAAAAAGTACACCCAATCAATGCCACCAACATACAACGCGACCAAAAACACACTTTATTCAAAATACTGAAATTATATATATATATACATAGTAATTGTAGTTATAGATTTTTTTTAATAGTTTAAGAAGCTTACAATATATAATATATTAAAAAAATAGTAATTGACAATATAAAACACACTCTATATAGTAATTGTTTAAATTTGAGATTTCTAAAAAATAATATACTCTTTTACCACTTGTCAATTGATGGGTTGAATTATAATTATAGATCTAAAAATATTTATTAGCAATATCTCATAATTAATAAAATATCAATATATCATCACGTAGGGGACTAAAAGAGTGATAGGGTTCTGACACCTATATTTTTTAATTTAATGGTAATTTAAATCTTTTTAATTTTAAAAATTACACAATTTAAACTTTATATCCCCAAATTGAAAACAAGAGATAGAGTAAAGAGGGGAAAATTGAAAAGGAGAGTGACCCACGAGAAAAGGGGATATTTTTAGGGTTTCAAGAAGGTGAAGGGGTAAGCAATTATATTCCCTTTGATATGGTTTCCAAGTGGGTGAAGTTGATATACGGGAAATTCTACCGTCCAACAGTCTTAATATACGGTTAAGAAAATGTGCTATTAATTTTGTTATTATTTTTTAATAAAATTAATAAAAAATTATCTAAAACATTATTATTTATACTTAAAAGATTAATGTTTTTTAATATTTCCGGTAAAGTGTCAACAATAACAAATCTAGTAGAAAAAATAATGTTTTATATAGCGTTTTACTAGATATGTTAACAAAACCGGTAAAACTCTAAATAATAACAAAACTGATATAAATAATAACGCTTTCGATAATTTTTTACCGGTTTTATTAAAAAAATAATAATAAAACCGATAACACATTTTCTTAGCCGTATATTAAAGATGTCGTAGGTTATACTTTCCCGTTGATCTACAGTACTCAAGACGTCACAAATTAGCTTTATTAATTACATACAGAAGACGAAGAGGCTTCCTTCTCACTTATTAGGTGGGTCATTTCCCTTTCCCTTTCCCTTTCGCTTTCTTCTTCGACCTTTTTCCTTGGCCGCGTAGACATTATATTAAATATGATTTTTTCAAGAATCTTATGAATATAGTTTGATGTGTGACCTTTTGCATGCTGTGAGTGGAATTATTTTGTACAGGCAAGAGACTGGGAGCTTTGTTTATCCCGGATCCGTCGGCAACACCGGGTCCACCGGCACCAATAGCGGCGGTGCAGGGTCCAGTGACGATGGCAACTACTTTGGAATGATATTCGGGAGCGGCGCCCCCCCAGAATCGACCCCACCACCTTTGATATCAACATTTTTGTCTCTTTTAATTATTTTAATTTTGTATTCTATTGCCCACCAAGGTGCTCTACCTCAATTATTATTATTATTATGGTAATAGGAAATACAGAAAGAAGAAATCAAAATTATAGTTATAATTTTATTTAAGAATTCAAAGATTTCATTGATTAGTTTGGTTCCTGGACGCTATCTAACACAAAACAAATAACATCTGTTCAATTGGTGTTACCTTCTTACATACGGTTTATTTAAAATAATTTTTAAATATTATTATAATGATATTTTTATTTAATGCCGATAAAGTGATGAGAGGATTATGAAAATGATGTCGTTGGTTGAGGTGGGATGTTAAATTCCACATCAAATTCAGTGCATCTGGGTCCCCAATTTCAGCCCTTTCCCTTGAAATTAGCCTTTTTCTTTTATTGATTTTTGATTGGCTTTATCTTTGGATAACAACAACGTGCATCTTAGCATGGGATGTCTCATTGTGTGAAGATTTTAACACTCCAAGCTTTGTAGATTTTTATTCTTACTTTTAAAAACACTTTTCCTTTTATGTTAGCTTTATATATTGTGCATGCTATGCATGAGTCTATAACAAGATTGATTGTCTTGTATTTCCGAAACAACCCCATTATAGTTATAGATCACGCAAGATAGTTGAGTTCTAAGGCATGGATGTTTTTAACTGTCATACTTGGTGATTATAATGAATAGCATAAATAAAATTTTTCTCAACAGTCTAAAATGATTATAAAATAATATCAGTTTAGAATTTTTTTTATCATCAACAATACACATACACCCTACAGACGCAATTATTCAAACTCAAAACTTTTAGAGAAAACAATATCATATACATATATATATATATATTAAATGAATCAAGAATATATATAAATTATGTTCCTTGATATCTATTATCTTAATCCTTTTTATTTTTTCATCAAAAGATAAATTTTGATTCAATTTTTTCAATTTTGACTTTTGGTTTATACTATTGATTCTTTATTCAGTACAATATTCAAAATAGTTTACATATTTTAAAAAATAATACTCATGATACATAAATTATGTGAGAAATTAACAGCCCCTTTCCTCCATCTATCACTTTCTCTACTCAATGTTAAAAAGCCAAGTTGAAACTTCTGACGTACCATTTTGATTCCAAATTGTATATTTTTAATATTCTAACTAAAATAAACAATAAACTAGCTAATAATTAAATATATATTCGGTTTAATAATAGTATCTTCCATATGAAATTAAGAGCTTAGAAATGAGGGCAAAAACAAAAAACAAAAACTTTTACAGGTTCATCATACTCTACGAACCGAACGTGCAAAAATTCCCGACTCATCTATTTCAATAGGTCAAACCCATCTAATTTTCTATTCCATGCATCCAATCAGCACGAATTCAGGTGAACGTCAAATACGAATATATATTCTGATATTCTATGCATATGTACTTTTAGGGTTCTTGAAAGACCATATTTTCATAGAACACAACTTAAAAAATACCATGTTTTCTGATCAAACTTGGGACTTCCTATAGAGGTTTGAAGATACGATGTTTGATGTCCATAATAACAGAACAAGTAGCATGTAATTAACAACATAACATGACATTGTTACTTTAAGCTCTTGTAATCGATGCTAAACCAAAGCAGTGAGAACACACGGAGAAACACGAAGCTCACAAAATTGATACTACACGAATAATAAATATAGTTGGGAATGCAAATAGAATAAACCTCATGTCTCTGGTATCTCACAAAAATTTACCGGTAGTTGGCGCATGTCGGGCAATAACTTCAAAGGAAAAGGCTTAAACTTCATGCTGCACTGATAGGGAGTCGAGAAATTATCCAAATCGTATGATTTGGAAGACATAATTGAGCCACTTCAAGTGCTAACGAGATAAAATCTCTGATACTCGATCTTGTGCATCAGGAGGCATCTCCCTTCCGGGGACTTTGACTTTTATAAGATTAGCGTACCTGTAAAAACAAAGCATAAGCTGTCACTGAACAACACAAACATTTTGGTTCAACTAGAAAAAAATTAGCAACGCTACTAACTCTGCAGCGGTGAACAAGTGCTCGTGCTCGGTGATGAAGGCAAGCAGGGCCTGCAATCAAGGAAGGTTTGAATCAATTATAATGGAAAGAAACCTTGTTCATCAATAAAGAAAAGAGACCGAGTTCTGATAGCTTGCCTCAAATGGCATATTTAACAGTTCATAATAGGTTCGGACATGATCGAGTCTCTGTTGTACAGCTTCGCTGTCAATTGAAGGGATAGCTGCAAGGGCCTGCAATGACATCAGAGATCATAAATCAGGATCTTTTTCTACATGCAAAAACTTAAATCAGAAGGATGCACCTTAACCAGTTGGATTTTGGAAACTTGAATTCGAATGTAAAGTTTTGAAACTTATTTTTTTGGTCCGACTCTCAAGAAAACATTAAAGAACCACAGAAAACCAAGCAAGGATAATTGCAGGGAAGGACATGGTAATTCAATTGATACTAGCATAAATTGTATCATTTTTTCACAAGAACTGACCATTCTTTTCTGAAAAGAAAAGTAAAGGTGAAAAAGATGAAAGTAGAATGATACTGTCATGGAAATCCGACCACTTATGAGCTCCAACTATGATTTCTATTATATGCTTAAGAAGAAAATGGATCATTATTCCAATTATAGATGACATTTGGGACCATTATTTCAAGCAATAAAAAGTGTCGGTGCAGCGAACAAAGATTGATTCTAGCCAATTGAGGTTGGAAACAGAGATATTGTTTCACCTATGCTGCTTCAAGTTTTCATTATTTTCAAAGTACTCGTGCCATACACGTATCATACACCTCAAAGTAGACACTGCCGGATCTGAGCTTCCATATATAACAAAACACTAATAAAATTGACAGCACCTATATCTGACAAACACCCATCTCTAACTCTCTTCTGAGCTGAGAAACATAGGTTACCATTAAGTTTCCTAGACTCGGGTGTATGCATCGGATATGGTATATACCCGAAAGGTATGTTTAATTGTTTCCGAGTTTTTTCAGGTATTTGATGCTTCTTAGAGTCATATCCTCATATGCATGTCCAAAATTGGGTATGAGACATGGTTCAAGAAAAATGTAGAGTCCGAGTAACATAAAGACAGGACCGAGTTTGAGTGTAAGGTTTAAAAATCAAATGACTGTAATCTTCATATAAAGAAAACTTTAGAATGAACTCAACAAAAAAGAAAATCACAGCGGACATTGAATTAAATAATACTGCAGATGAGCTAGATTAAAATTGGAAACAATGTAATCTTATTTCAAGCACCTTCAAAGAAAAAAAATAATGCCATCCCACCACTCCACCCTATCTGAATATGAAGACATGCTAACCTGTTCTAGAGCAATTGAATTCCGACATATCTGCTGAACTCCGAACAAGTTGATCGATTTCATGTCGGCCAAAGCCTACCCTCCCATTGGTTAGAAGAATAAAGATAATACACTAAATTAAAACGAATCTGAATGATGATCAAATTAGAACCCAAGTTAACTTTTCGAGGTATTCCAACCTTAAGTGATGTATTTGCTGCAATACTACATATTCCACCAAATATGTAATTCCGCTTCACTCCAGCAACAAAAGGTGCTATTTCCTCATCCCTGCGTGTTATCTATGCACAGAGAAGTGAAAAAAAGAAAATTCAAATGATAATCTCATTATAATAGTCATCAAAGGTAAGAACAGGAAGCAGATCCTTTGAAATTGGAAATACTAATGAGAAGAATAAATACGTCATCAAAATTGCAGCAACCAAATCATATTTTTATTATAAAAAAATGAAGTTACAGGAAAATGATGCTAAATAACCATAAAACTGAAAAAGACAAATGTAAACACAGAGAAATAAATAAGACACTGACAAACCCAAGATGCAGCTAAGGATAAGCTGAACATGAAATGGTACTTAGCATTAAGAAACCTTCATATTAAGTCAACATTCAAAAATATGTTAACATAGGTGTTGGACATGGGTGCTTCAAGAAAATGAAAAGATGGAGTAGCATTGTAAAAGGGACAATTATCCATAGGAAGGTTAAAACTGAAACAAGTTACACATTAACAACAAATGGAGAAAATAACCTGTGCAGTAAGTGAAATAACAAAGTCGTCAGGCTCTTCCGCATCTTGGTTTTCCAGGTATTCCCTATATGTCATTTCCTGTTGGGGCCATAAAATGTTAGGTTACTTGCAGATGCTCTCATCACATAGTGGTTATATCTAAAATTAAGCGATTCGGGCAAACCTGCAAATGAAAAATTGTCTCCAGCTGCATCTCCACACGTAGAAATTTCAAGCAATCAATTGCTAGTTTCCTGTACTCATCTGCAAATGATGCCAGATCCCTAGCTGGTGAACTGCTTGTTTGTTTATTGCTAGGATTGCCACTGTCCACATGGTTTAATGCTGCTAGCGGGGTTGCTTGTACAAGTCTATATATTTGGTAGATATTTTAAAAATGTAAGTGACAGAAGAAAAAAAATATTGGATAGGAATTTCTCAAAAGCATAATTGTCCATCATATCATTCTACCAGAAGGATCTGCTTCACCAAGAACAAATAGGGAAAAACGATATACCGTTTTTTGTATGTGTATGGAAGGAAGAGAGAAAGAAGGGGAAGAGTGGGATGTTAATGCACCATATCATTTTATTTTTCTTTGATGCAAAGACCTATTCAGTTGCATATACAACTTTAGGTTTAAAAATGCTAATTCCCTATCATTAATCCTTAAATACAATTTTCAGTTACAAATATTAATCTCCTTATATCACCAATTCTATCCGGATACAAAATTACATGGTTGAATCACATAGAAGAACAAAAGAAGATACTTTCCAGACTTATAGAGGTATCATAAAGCATCCGTACATGTAGATAAACATCGAGATCCATGTTCTGGAATCCAGGGAATAAATCTCATGCTCTGAGTGTCAATATTATTAACTCCCTAAATCCTCAAACTAATCTCTAACACCGACTCAAGCCAGATTGAAGAACTTGCCTTTCAATGGAGTCTGCAACATACTCCAATGAATCACTAAGGGATGCCAACAAAACAAGTTTATTGTCATCACGAATTAAATTCTCCTGCACAAGATATGTTAGAAAAAAAATGACTACCTTCAATTGAAACTTTAACAACAACAATTTTCAAATTGATTTAAAAGATGGCACCCAAATTTCATAGCCAAGTCAAACTCAAATGCATAATAAATTAATATTTATTGATGATTATATACTAGACATCTAATTACTCAAAGAAAATTTTAAAACAGGTGGGCATTAGTCTTCACCCAGCATATTTACCTGCTTAATAGGACGCAAATTTAAGAGGAGTTCACTTAGTTCTGATTCAATCTCAATACTTTCTGTATCAGAAACAATAGTTGCCACATTTGACTGACCAAGTGCATTTGGTAAGCACACATTAGCCGGATCAAGTAGCATCAATTTGTCAATATCATGTCTTCCGATGACCATATAACTCTGCTTCTCAAGAACTGCCTGAAATATTAAGTGTTTATGAATGAATGCGTCTATTACTGTATGCATAGTAGAATGTTCAAAATAAATGGTTAGAAGCTAATTCTCTATTATATTCACGTTAATAATAATGAAAAATAAGGAATTAGTTTCAACTATCTCAATCAAATAATTTCAATAAGCAGCATGCGCAGCACTGCTCCTCAGCTTACACAATGGCATAACATTTTAAACATTACATGCGGAATCAGTTTTGACAATACCAAAAATTCTTTTGCCTGTTTTAGATTCTTCTAGGACATTTCTGTTGGAAAATTTTATCAGTTATAAAATAACAATAGTGTTTTTCTATTAGGCAAATTCTTTGTTTCTGTTTATACACTGTTAATCTATTTCCATATTACCTTGTAGATAAGAGCTGTTATGACCATGACCTATTATATTTACATTTTAGCTTACATGGCCCAGTAGACAATAAAATTATATATCTTAACCTTGTTTGATTATCTATGCTAAATAAATGCAATTCCACCTTCGCACTGAAAAAGATATCTTCAAAAGTTTGGATCCCTCTTGAGCAGTGAGCACCAAAAACGAGAGTGAGGGAAAAGAAAGCAAAAGTCACCCTCACCCCCCCCCCCCTTCGTTCCATGCATCCAGCTAAGGCTAATGTCTTGAACAACTATAAACAACTTATCTATCAACAATATCTAGAACGATTATGAACCAGAAGAAGATATCTGAACATTCTTATGCAAATTTCTCTTTAATAATTTTACTTGTTACTGTTCTGATAAAACACCACAAAAATAGAGAGAGCTACCAATTGTAATTAGCTGGCAGAAAAAAAAGGTCAACAACAAATGAAAAGCATGTTAAAAGCAATCTTAAGGAAGAAATGTGTACAGAAGACTCCATACCTCCATGTATGAAGTTCGACATCTTTCAAAGGTTCGCTCAAGGAAAGTTTGCACAAACTTCACAAGTTCAGCTGCAAATTTAGGCATTGCTTGAACCCAACCAAGCACCTAGTTAAAATAAAGTTTCTTGTTAGGAGAAAAAAAGAGCAGCTGTAGATGGTCAAGAAACTTCTGAGTAAAACATTAAAGATGAACAAAGAAAATGCTAAATGAAAAAAAAATGCAAAATAATGAACAAATATGATGAGATTGAAAAGGAGGGAAAGAAAATAGTTTCTTCAGGGAATAAGAAAAATAAGTTAAACTTGCCTCTTTTGCTAAGGAATCAATAGCCTGAAGCCCCTGCAAGACAGGTCTACCTTTCTCAATGGATGAATTATATGAAACACCTGGATGTGCCCGTGGTCGAAATGCAGCTGGACCTGTAAGGAAACAGTTTAAAGGTTAAAAGCGTGAAAGGAATCCTACCAAGAAAAAAAAGGCAAGAATTCTGAAGGAGAAACAAAGATGAAGCAAAAGCTGGAGCGTCGTGTATTGATAAAACTGATGTATAACCAGTTTTAACCTTGCATTTCACTGTGCAAACCCGCCCCCAATCTCTTGAAACATAGTTCTCACAGAAATTCCTTCCATTATTCTCTGCTTTCTTTTTTTTTTGATAGGATTATTAGGCCTCATTAAAAACCCCCTTCATGATTAATGGAACTCTGAAAAAGTTCCTTAATCAGCGGAAGGAGGAAAAGAGTGCCTTGGAATGTTAGGGGGCTTGGGAAAAGAGAGAAGACTAGAGCTGTGGCTAGTCTCGTGAACAGAGAAAAGCCGGTCATCCTGTTTCTACAGGAAACGAAAATGAATGTTTGCCGAAGTGGATTAAGGAGGAAGCTCGGGGGGAATCTGCTGCGTGGTGGTATTTTCTCTCCAGCTGATGGATCTGCAGGTGGTTTGATGTGTTTGTGGAATGAAGATTTGTTTGCGGTTTCCACGGAATTTATTAATAGAAGATTTATGGCTTTAACTGGGAAGTTCAAGAGGAATAATTTTGAATGTGTTCTGATTAATGTGTATGGTCCTTCAGTAGAGGCTGACAAAGAGGAGTTTTTCAGGGATTTGCTGAGTTTTGTGCAAAGTTTGAATGTTCCTGTCTATATAGGGGGGAATTTCAATGCTTATTTGGTTACTGAGGAGAAGATTGGTTTTTCTCAAAACTGGCACTCCATGGAGTTGTTTTGGTCTTTTTTACAGACCCTTAATTTGATGGATCTGCCATTAGTTGGGGGGAGATTCACTTGGTGTAATAATAGAGAGTCTTCCACTTGGGTTAAGCTGGACAGATTTTTGTTAAGTAGTTCTTTTTTCTGCATTTTCCCTAAGGTGGTTCAAAATTTGCTTCCCAAATCACTCTTGGATCACAATCCAGTGATGTTGATAGAAGACTGCAATAATTGGGGTCCTAAGCCGTTTCGTTTTTTTAACTACATGCTCGAGGAGGAAGGGTTCTCTGGGGTGGTTGAGAATTCCTTATTAAATGTTAGTAATGGTATGGGGTGTAGGGGCTTGTTCTCCATTCTTAAAGGAACTAAGAAGGCTATTCGGTCCTGGCCAAGCAGCAACCAGAGGGGGTTTTCGGAGGCTATTGCTGATCTGGAAGCCAGAATAAATATCCTGGAGTTGAAGTCTCAAGTTGGGGGCCTCTCTAGTCAAGATAGGGACCTTCTTGTTTTGTCGAGGAAGGAACTGTGGGTAAATAATTCTACCTTAAAAAGATCAGTTCCCTAGGATCTTTGCCTTATCGACCAATAAATGGGGTAGAGTGTTATGACCCAAGAGAATCGGAGAAGAAGAGAATCGAAGAAATAGAAATAGAGATTAAGAGAAGAAATTTAGAGAAGAAATAGAGGTTGAAGAAGAGAAAAATTCATTCAATTTTCAGATAATTTCCTCTTGGTTCAGTACACGTTTTATTTGTTAACATTGTACCAATTCTAACCACTTTACCAGCTGGCAGTACAGCTGTCTAACAGAATTGTTTTTCCTGCAGGTGTTGCTGGCATGATTCCTTCCCATAATTTGGTCCATCAGGTAAGTGACTAAGCCCTTCTAATTTTGTATTCCCAATTACCCTAATTTTCTCAATTGAAATCCCTAACCCTACTTTCAATTCCCCCAATTCTCCCCCGCCTTCTCCGACTGTTTCTATATCTCTACTACTCATGACAATACCCCCTCCATGAAAGGATCCTTGTCCCCAAGGATCAAAAACTAGGAATTGTGCTTTAGGCACAATATAGTTTACCCTAGTGACGTTTTCCAGCCTTAAGTTCGTCCATTGCACATGATTGTGCTTCTTCTCCATATGTTTGTCGAGCACCATAGTCGGGTGGACCTTCAACTTTCCTTCCTGTCCAAACTGGGAAGGATCCAATGAGGTAACGCTTTGATCTCCATTTTTTTTTAACAAACTGCTATGAGTTACTAGTTGCACCCTCCAAGACTCGGGTAATAATTTATACGCTACTACCCCCATGCATTGTAAAACGGTGTAGAGACCATAGAACCTTGCTGCCAGCTTTAATCCTTTTCGAAGAGCAAGTGAGGTTTGATGGTAAGACTGGAACTTCAGGTAAATTCTGTCCCCGACCTTTAGATCTCTGTCTGTCTCATCCTTTTTAGTTCGATCCTTACCTTTTTCCCTTTCACGTTCTCTCTCCTTCTCCTTCCTTTTCTCTTTATCTTCTCTATCTTTCTCCTTTTTAGCCTTCTCCTCCTCTCGTTTTCGCTCCTTATCTTTAGCTTTCTCCTGTAAGTGTGCAATGTATTCCTCAAAGATCTCTCTCCTACAGCTCTCTTCTGCAATTGATCTGTATTCTTGGCTTTCTTCAAAAAGTGGCTTGGAATCCTCCCAATTAGAAGATGCCGTTATCTCCTTATAGGTATGCAATAGCGTAGTGAAGTCATTAGCTAGAAGTTGATGTTTTTTAGCCTCTTTCTCCTTGGCTCTCTCAAGTAACTCATCATACACAGGCTTTAATTTAATATCTGATATCAGTGAGGAACCAACTTCTTCTGAAATAGCAGCCTTGAAGTCTTCGAATGTCCATGAACAACCCATGGTAATCTTCCCCCACTTCATTGCATCTTTTATACGGGTTTTGTCTTCATGATACTGTTTTTCTAATTCTTCAGCAACATACTCGAACAAATCTTTTGGTGTTGAACCAGATGTGTTAGATGCAACAGCAAAATATTGAGGCAAATCTTTCACCTTCAAACAATAATCTCGCCAATAAGTTCTAGTTGTAAGAGTACCATCAGCAACATGATCTTCCATTAGCTTACGAAATGCATCACGGTTTTTGCGCTCGGCACGTCTTAATTGTTTCTTTTGCATCTTCTTTTTTTTCTCTTCTTCCTTCTCTAAGTCATGAATACAGTCCTGGAATATGAGCAGCCGATCAATTTTTTTAAGACGTGAGCATCTTTCATCATCCTCCAAACGATCTTGAACTTTCCTCCACTGGTTGTTTGCCTTAATAAAATCACAGGATTCCAAAAATTTTCTATATTCTGCTATATAACGCCTTTTTTCCTCTGCAGCATGTTCCCTTTCCTTCCTCTCAAGATCCACTATACAGCTTTCAAAAAAATCTTCCCGATCTCTAGCGCGTTCAACAGCCTTAAACCGCTCATCATTTTCAAACAAACTTTGAGCTTTACTCCATCTCATGGATGATGTTAGTTCCTTGGACTCTTCCAGCATTTTTGTAAACTCCTCCCGAGCCTTCTTCTGTCTCATTCGCCTTTCCTCGACTTCTAACTTTTTTCTTTGACCCAAATACTCATTAAAGGCTTGCTTCCGCTCACCAAGTGTCTTCAGAGTACCATACCTTTTGTCGTTAATTATTTCTCTCATTGCCTGCTCCCACGTCCAATCAGATTGCACACTTGCAGATTCAAGGAGAGATTTGAAAGCATTTTTTGCCTCCAACTTATTTGCATATACTAAAGGCTCATCATCCAGAACTTTCTCTTCTACTGGAGTTACATTAACCTTTCCAGCAACTGCCATCCCCTTTCTCGCTTCCTCAATGTCTTGAGCAGAAGCTCCATCTGTTTCTTGAGTTGCTATAGGTTCCAAGCTTCTTGTGACTGCTGTGTTAGCGATGACAGAATGAACAGAAACAGTGGAACCTCCCAAGGGAACAACAGGTAAAGGTGACACAGACACTGCCCCAGGTGCATCTGTAGTAGCAGATTGTGAAACAGGAATAACCGTTGGTCCAGATGTTGAATTAGGTGAAGAACTAACAACAGACATAACTGAAAGCAGGCTTAAATCCTGCAAAGTGTTGGAGCTCAAAGAAATAGCTGTAGAAGGCATCTCAGCTGCAGAGCCAACAGCAGCAACTGGAGCTTGAGGCACTCCTGAGACTGATGGAGTTCCTTGGCTAGCTACTGCCTGAGCTTGCTCACGTGCTAACTTCAATTCCTCAGGTATTGTCCACTTAGACTGCTTTGTAACCTTGTTATAATAATATTTTCTTCCCTCCGGAGTTGTGAATTCCTTCCAAACTGTGGATGCATCAGCTCTCGTTGTATGAAGACTTTGATAGCCATTAACCTCTGATGTTGCTCTGTAATCTTTCATAGCTCGAGGAACAGGAGTCCAGTTGCTATAGATTAATACAAGAACATAGTAGTTGATCTGCTGTGGACTACAAAAAGGTAGGTCGATGCTGTCCATATCATAAACACTGAGATTGCTCCATATACCCAACTTCAATAGAGTAGAAAGCATAAGGTGCAACCTTTGATTCACACTCCAGTTCTTAGCTAAATAAATTATACTCCTTCCCATCAACAAAAGCCGAAACACAAAAGGATCAAAAGTTTCAACATGTTCATTGAAATCTGAATTACCCACAGAAAAATCAACTATGAAAGGCGTAAAAGTAGCAATTCGAACTGATGTAGGCAAACCTGACTTCTCAAACCGTGGAACAACTCTTAATGGTTTCTCATGGCATTCACACTGCAGGAACTCAAGAACATCAGAAGAGGCAGTTGCAATTGAAATGGCGTATGCTCCAAAGTTGTTTGCCGGAAACTCTGCCATGATACTGATTGTATCCAAAACAGCACCATTTTCTTCTGTTATAGGAAGATCAAAACCAAACAACAGTCATTTTCTACTTGGTTCATATATTATCCATTCCAGCTTTTGTTCTTCAGACCACTCACGGTTGGAACCAATTTCCAAGGGTTGGGTATTAGTGATGGATGGCATTTTATCAAACACTTGACACCCATCATTTGTGCCTTCGATTGCCATAGGTAACGACTCCGTTTCAAGGTTGTTTTGGTCCTGCTCCACCGTTTTTCCTGTCAATACTCTTAGGATCTGTTCGAAACAACCCTTATTCTTTGCAATCCTTGTCTCCAGGTATTGCTGATCTTGCTTCACCAACTTTGCTAAGTCGTCAATCTGGTTTTGAATTGCAGAAAGAGCAGAGGATTCAGCCATTGCTTTGACAGGAGTTGTGGCTCTGATACCAATTTGTTATGACCCAAGAGAATCGGAGAAGAAGAGAATCGAAGAAATAGAAATAGAGATTAAGAGAAGAAATTTAGAGAAGAAATAGAGGTTGAAGAAGAGAACAATTCATTCAATTTTCAGATAATTTCCTCTTGGTTCAGTACACGTTTTATTTGTTAACATTGTACCAATTCTAACCACTTTACCAGCTGGCAGTACAGCTGTCTAACAGAATTGTTTTTCCTGCAGGTGTTGCTGGCATGATTCTTTCCCATGATTTGGTCCATCAGGTAAGTGACTAAGCCCTTCTAATTTTGTATTCCCAATTACCCTAATTTTCTCAATTGAAATCCCTAACCCTACTTTCAATTTCCCCAATTCTCCCCCGCCTTCTCCGACTGTTTCTATATCTCTACTACTCATGACATAGAGCTGCGGAGTTTGGCAGTTATGTTAACGGTCGTTGGGTTTGGAATATTAATCTTAGGAGGAATTTATGTGACTGGGAATTGGACCAATGGATCTCCTTGATGTCGCTGATTGATAACATTGATCTGAAGGATTCTGTTGAGGATTTTCTGTCTTGGTCAGGGAAGGGTGATGGCATTTTCTCGGTTAAATCTTGTAGAGAAGCTCTATCGTGTAGTTCAGGGGGGGACTTTTCCATGGAACAAGTGGGTTTGGTCTGGTTTGGCACCTCCAAAAGTCGAGACATTTCTATGGCAGGTATCTCACTTAAAGTTGGCTGTTAGAGTGGAATTGAAGAAAAGAGGCATTTCATTGGAGGGTGTACTATGCCCTCTTTGTCTTAAAGAGGATGAAACAATTCAACATCTTTTTTTACTTTGTCCTATGGCTTGGGATTTGTGGAATAGGTTCGCTAGGATTTGGGAGCTGTCTTTTGTTTTGCCTAATGATCACAGGTCGTTATTAGCCTCTTGGTCCTCTCTACGGCCATTTTCTACTATTTGGAATTTTATCCCGGGAGTGGTGTTGTGGTCGGTTTGGAAGGCGAGGAATTCAGTGGTGTTTGATAACGGGACTGTGGATAGTTCTTTGTTGTTCTTCATTTGCAGGTTCAGGCTGGCCAAATGGTTCTTAGCCAAATTTCCGAAGGTAAATTTTCAGGTGGATCTTTTAATTGGGGATCCTGTGTTGGCAGATAGGGTTTCAGTTAAGCCTCTCAACAAGCAGATGGGTCAGTGTTGGGTTCCACCTCCTCCTGACTTTTTTAAATTCAACGTAGATGGGGCGGTTACAAGAGATGGTCTGCAGGGTGGAATTGGTGGATTGTTGAAAGATTCTCATGGCTCTACTCTAATTTCCTTTTCTAATGTTACGGGACCAGGCCCTCCTGTGTATGCTGAATTGAAAGCTATTAAACAAGGCATTGATTTATTCCTTTCTTCTAAATGGGTCCTGAAGGGAAGATTAATTTTAGAGACTGATTGCAAAAAAGCAGTGGATTGGATTTCGAGGATTGATGCTGCCCCGTCGTTCTTTTCGTCTCTAGTTGGGGAGATTGGTGCTTTAGTTTCTGTTAGAGATATTTTGGTTAGGCAGATTCCTAGGTCTTGTAATTGGGAGGCTGGCAAATTAGCCAAGGAGGGGATTGGTTGATAGGTTTTAGTAGTCTTTTACTTTGGTGTTTTTTTTCTTGTGGTGTTTTGTTTTATGTAATCTTATGTTAGTTGGGTTATTAATATAATGGGGTACTCTTTTCCTCCTTCGTCAGCTGCCTCTGTTCAAGAGGCAACTATGAGGGAGGTTTTTAATGAGGCCTCCTATTCTTATCCAAAAAAAAAACAACATAAATATTAACCAATTCCAGCCTTAGCTAGAGCGTCTGCCTCTAGATTAGCTGCCCTATTAACCCATCTAATAACACCTTCACACAGTCTAAGTTTTTCAATAATATCTTTAACAATGTAAGCATAAACAGCAGGACATGAAACAAAATCCCTAACCCAGTCAACTGCCACCCTGCAGTCACTCTCAATTATCAACCGATCCTTTAATCTGTGTCGTATAGTGTGAAAGAAAGATAAGCCCTTTAGGATAGATTTCAGGGTGTGTATATTTTCTTTCACCAATCCATGTAAATCAGTAATGAACACTCTGTTAATCTCATTGCTGCCTTATTTAACTAATATCCCATGCAGGTTTATTTATATTTTTTTTAATTATATAGTGTAAACCATCTTTTCGGTTTACCCACTCACTAACACTGGTGAAACAAGACCACGTCAACATCCAATAAACAAGATCAAATTCCTCGTTTTTCTTGTAATAACAATCTTAAGATGCTAAATATTGAAAATAATAACAATATATGATGAACATAAAAATGAAATGGGTAGTTTTGATAGACAGTCTGTCATCTAACAGAAACTATTGGTATTACTATAAAAATACCAATAGTTTTGATGTCGGTTTGTCATCCTAAGATGCTAAATATCAAAAATACTAATCGCATATGATTAATATAAAAAAGATGAATAACAATAGAGGGAGCCATATGGTTATAGAACTTGCTTGATATGGCTTGTTGTACGCTTTTCCGGTAGTCAACAAACATGGTTGGTAAAAGATGGTCTTTCACAAAGTTCTCCACAAAGGCTAGCAATCCATCATTCCTGCAATTATAGAAAATTCAGGATACGAAAGAACGTTAATGTCAAGCTACAGCCCATTCGCAAAAGTGTTAGACCACATATTTTACAAATTTCACAGAGATCTGATAATATACAGAGAATTTTAAGGGTATTTTAAATATTTTCTCTTCCTAATCTCAATGCAAATCTGAACACTGATAAGGGATTTGATAAAGGAAGAGCACAGTAAGAAATGGAAAATACTTGTGTTCTTTTCCTAACAGCTACCATAAATACTTTTCATATCATTCATGACGCTTCTTTGTAACACATACAAGCCTGGAAGGGAGACTTACACAAGCTGGGAATACTTCGTTGGCAGCATAGAAGCAAGCTTGTCTGTAAACTACACCACACATCAGATTACAGAAGGCCATTTGCAGTCTCATCAATGAACATGTAACAAAAATTAAATTTCAAAACATAGATATTTGATTCTCATGGTCCCAAACCTGATGAACAGGCCGATACAAAGATGCTGCTAGATAAATGCCTTGCTCAGGCAAGACAGTTGCAGAGCCATAACCCTCTTGTGAAACATTGGGACCCTTCTTATTCCATCCTTGGCGAACGATATCAACTCCTATATAGAAGACATGGCATATGAGGAGATGATTCACAAATTGAACATGTGAAGTTACACCTACAAAATTTGCAACTCAAGAAGGAAAGGGAAAATAGAAGTTTCAATCACTGCACTTAGAGAAAAGAACTCATGAATGGCTGCTCCAAAGAAATATAACTATACACACACATACACACATATATATATATAGAGAGAGAGAGAGAGACCATATTAAATTAGCAAAACAAAAATTCTCCTACTCCAACTGCTTGCTGAATCAAGCAATTGTGATAAAAAGAAAATGACTTCAGTTGAAAGAGTCAAACTTGTGAATTTTACATCTAAAATCTAACTGAAAGTCTCATTACTCTCCCAGTCTCCCCTGCTAGGTAAACATATAATACTTCAAATGAATTCTGTTCAAGAAAAATTGTATAGACTTCAAATAAAGAAGTATCACCAACAATACATACAGCCAGACATAAATTCCTCCTTGGTTGATTCAAGTTAATAATAAAAAATAGACTTCGCCAAATAATAACTAAAATTCTTTAACTAAGGAGAGCCCATTAATATAATATCAAATCTCATTAATAATATATAGATCATGGATGAAGAACTATAAACAATTCAATGAGTTTTGCAATAACTCGATTTATCATACCCTGGTTTGGAACTGAAACAGTAACATCTGTGAAACGGAAGGCAAAAGTGAATGCATCTTCTGAACCATCCCTGTAACCAAAACTATAAATTTTCACACTTGTCAAACAAAATTAAGAAAGAATAGAATTTAATAGGAAAATTATCACAGTTATGATGGTAAAACAAAAGACAAAGTGCTAGCAATGGTACACAATGTTAAACATCCAAGCAAGAACCAATAGATTATAGGCGAGACGCCCAACTTGAATATAAAGCCGCAGAAAGAGACTTAACTGATATGACCAATTACTCCCCTTATCTTAATCACTACCAACAACAGACATAACATGTCATCGGAAAAATAAGGGGCAAAACAATGGGAAAAAATGCAAAATACAACGAACATGGGCTCTAGTTCTATATTAGGTATCCAACCTAAAACTAACTGGCTATGGTGGAGAGACCCAACTTGAATTCAAGTACCACAAACTCAAAAATTAACTGCAATGGGATATAATCACCAAGGAATAAACACCAGAATCTGTAGCTGTGTAAAATAAAATCAATTTGATATTGGTTTTTTGCGGTAATTAAGGTGAATATAGTATTGCATGCTAAGAATATTACATACACCAAAAGAACTATGCCAACTTTTGGGAACAAATAAAAATATATATATCGTCCTAACTCATTGTAAATTACCAATGAGTTGATTATTATTGAATATAGAAAGGAAATTCCAGTTGGATTTTGTTCAAGCATACAAGGAGATAACTATAAAAGGATGCAAAACAACAAATCCTATCAATTGGCTGAATGAAAAGGGAGGAAGGAGGAAAAGGATACACACACATACATCTTTAAGGGAGCGGCCATCTCTCCACCCCCACTCCCCCAAAAAATGAAAGGTAAGTCAAACATGAAAATGCAGTAGCAAAGTAAAGACAGGGTAGGTCAAACATGAAAATGCAGTAGCAAAGTAAAGACGAACATTGGAAACTATTACTGGATCCTTATTATTTTCCTATGAGTATTACCATAAGAGACTCCAGTTACTTGCCTTTTTTCATTTGTAGGAACCTTGTTTGCAAGCCTGGCAGTTTGTGTGGCATCCACTGACGCAGCCTCAGGGGTTGCTCGAAGAATCTCGCATATGAGTTGTTGGCATTCACTCTGCAGCACATAATGCCATAAATGTTGAAAACTGAAGACATAGAAGTTCAAGTAATTATGCCAAAATCACTGCCCAAAAGAAACCGTGTCATTGTTAAAGAACCAACCTGTAAAACCGTCAAGGAAAAGCCAATACTGTAACCTCCAGTAACTTGAGATGCTTCAGAATCAAGGTCTACATTTGTTGACATCGACTTTTGTATGTTTGGGTTACTTTGTAGGGAAGATTTTGACTGAATAAGCTCCCCAACAACAACATGATTCTCTGATCAATTACAGCTAAGAAATTTAGTTTCATTTTTTAATACAAGAGTAAACAAAACTGAAAGAGAATAAGAGTAATAAACAAAAAAATCCATGTCTCACCAATTATCTGAACAACAGTTGCCAAAATTGAATCAAGAAGTTCTTTTGCAGCAGCTTGTGCTTTTCCTGTAGGAGCCATCACAGGTGAGACAGGGCTCACTGCCAACAGAGTCCCGGCCAATGACATCCCATTATGACGCTTCTGTTTAGGTAACCAGTAGCTTTCTATATGTCCTTTTATAAAGTGGACACTGGAGTTACCAATTCGATTGGCCTTATCAATTTCAGACCTTGAAGAATTAATGAATTCTGCATTCTCTTTAATCTTGGAAGTGATAATCTCATGAATTGTGGGTCGCAATCGTTGGCTGTTACATAGACAAACCATCATGAAGACAAGTAATATCAACAGCAGACATGTCATTAGTTTGTTAAGTATAAGCTTTTATCAAAAGATAAAGTGCCTCAAACTACTTTCCATCATGCTCAGTACGTAATTTAAATCCAGAATTATTCTGAGTTCATATATCTTATTAGAAAACCATCCGAAAAATCATTAATAGATGAAGAGATAAGGGAAAAGTAGAATAGGTTGAATAGTTGTACAAAACCATTTTCAGATGCTATCTAAAAGAACCAATGAATGAATACAAGTTCAATTAAAACATTCTACAACATAAGGAAAGCAACCAACCATATTACAGCCCCAGCTGCAGCTACTTTGTTAAGCAAGCAGAGGCACTCCACCATGGTCTGCAAATACTTCACATGAAGTGGAGCATCGCTCTTTTTGATTGCTTCCTAGATCACCAAAATGAAAACTGTGTTTCAATGCTAAAGGTCATAGAAATTAATGAAGTCAACATCATGAGATGCAGTAATGTCAAGTGAGGTACTCATACAACAAATTCATCGGGAGTAGAACTCGAAAGCCACAATGGCATCTGATGGGATATAACTTTGCCATCTTTTGCATCACCATCATTATCATGCGTCTCCAAAGAACCATCCTCATCATGGCCATCATATGATGAACTGAAAAAAGAAAAAGGTGAGATTCAAATTCAGACAACTGAACAAACTGAGAAATATATTATATCTAAAAGCAATTTAAAAGAGAGACAGAATCAGAAATATTATTATTATTATTGTTGTTGTTGTTGTTGTTTTTTGTTATTATTATTATTATTACTACTATTAAAAGAAACCTAGTGAGTAATGACTTTCTGCATATATGCAAACACCAAGTTGTGAAGACTTTAGATGATTTGTTCATAATAAAAACTTATTAAGAACCCATGAGAAAATATTGATAATGGTTGAAAAAATTTATGCGACAAGATCCGTAAAAGAAAAGATTTTATAATAGATAACAGGTTCGGAGATGAACACTTCGTAGAAGAAATCACTTAATCACAGTTCAGGTTGCCATAAATTTTACGACTCTATGACTTCAAAACGAAATTTGGTATCCAAATCATTCTTCCGTAAAACTATACTAACTAAAACAGAAGTGAAGGTTTGTTCTCCTATATTCTAAAAGAAATCTGTTTTCAGCTGGACGTGATAATATTGTAAAAGATGAAAACAAATTTCCAAGGAAACAATTCTGGTAAACAAAAGTCATTGTTAACACTTAAAAGTAATGCATATATTACTAGGATAACTGCTAAAGCATACATTATATGTTGTTTGAAACTCATAACATCATTCAAGAGGAATGCAACAGGGAAAAGTCAAGGAGTACATAGAGTCGGATATTAAAAAAAAAAAAGAACGAAAAATCTGGACTTACCCTCCATCAATGGAACCTGGCTTGTATGATCCATCTACAAGTCCCTGACTGCCAAACATGCTATCAAGTCTCACTGACCTGGTTCTTCGAGAGACGGGATGAGTAGAATTTGCAGTAAATGCAACAGCTGTGGTTGTAGGCACTTCATCATCCTTATCATGCAAGCTTGATGCACTTGAGCTGTAAAATTTAATCAGCGTAATGAACAAGAGTTCTGTAAAGGGTAAACTTTCCGAAATGCCTTTTTATTGGCATAGATAAAATGCAGAAAGCATACGGAACCAGATAATACATTCCTTTCTTCCTTTCCAATTCAATATGAACAAATGAATTGATGAAATGAGAGAAGAATATGTTAGAACCAGCCGTGTAGAAGTCTTATTTTCCAAGTCAATGATCTCACTGGATATAAGTAAAGTCAAGGTGATCATAACTTGTTCATAGAACACTCAAACTCTGAAAAGGTTGCAACGTTTCTAGTGTATGTAGATGATGTAATAGTTACAGGTAATGATATTGAAGGAATGAATTTGAAAGAATGTCATTTGAAGGAATTTGACATCAAAGAGCTAGGAAAGTTGAAATTCTTCCTAGGCATTGAGGTGGCACGTTCGAAACAAGGAATCTTCATCTCTCAGCAGAAATATGTGCTTAACTTATTGCAAGAAACGGGGAAGATGGGTTCCAAACCAGATGAGACCGCCAATTGTGTATAATCATGAGTTATGTGGTGCACTAAAAGAACTTATGGTGGATAGAGGATCCTAATGAAGTCTAGTTGGAAAGTTAATATATTTCGCACACAATAGACTAGATATAGTCTTTACAGTAAGTGTAGTCAGTCAGCTTATGCATAATCCGTAAGAATGAAATCTCAAAGCAGTAAACAGGATACTACAATAATTGAAAGGCGGCCCAAGAAAAGAAATTGTGTTCAAACATCAAATGAACTCAGGCATTACACAAGAAACATAAACGGATGCAAATTATGCAAGGTCTTTAGGCAACACAAAATCAAAATTTGGGTATTATACAATCTAAGGTGAAAATCTTATAACCTGGAGGAGTAAGAAGCAGAATGTAGTAGCAAGATCAAGTGTTGAATCAGAACTCAGATTGATGGCTTTGGGAGTATGTGAGTTACTCTGGGTAAAGATAATCCTAGATGACTTAAGAATAAAGTGGGAAGGACCCATGAGGCTTTACTGTGATAATAAATCAGGTATCAATATTGCTCACAATCTTGTTCAACATGATCGAACAAAGCATATTAAAGTTGATTGGTGTTTCACTTTTTGAAATATTGGACAGTGGTGTAATTTGTACTCCATCTCTACCGAGGATCAGCTGGCAAATGTGTTTAGAAGGGGCTGACAAGCAAGGTTTTTCAAGAAATTCTAAACAAGTTGGAAATGACAAATATTCATTCACCAGTTTGAGGGGGAGTGTTAGAATCAATCCTGTAGAGTCTTATTTGTTTTGGGGTCTTTTATGATAAAAAATGATAAGTCTTACAAGTCTTTGTAATTTCTATATTTAGATAGAATTTTTTATCTTTATCAGAAAAGTCCTATTATATTAGAAGTCAGCAACTCGATTTATTTAAATTATTGTAATCTCCTAAATTCAATCATCAGATTTCTATTTCATTACCTCTTTTATTCTTTCCATATTCTTCAGTTTATTTCCTTAGATTATAAGGAAATGTGAAATAGAAAGTTAAAGCCCTTAATAGATAAAAAATAATATACCTGTATTCACCCTTATTGTAAAGATGTGCATGCAAATCCTCCAAAACTTTATAGAACAGAACACTTCGCAACTTTGACAGCTCAGATCGAACATCTTGGAGAGCACCAACCTACATTATATTAGGTTAGAATATTTAAATGCAGGCATCTAAAAGCACCCTCCGTAGTTTAAACTTATATACCTCTGGATTATTTTTCATATCAAGAATAGTTTAGAAAATTTAATTGGTTCATTTGGTATTGCAGTAATTGTGCATGGTCTATCAATGGTATGCCACCACAAACAAAGAGAAAAAGAATGGATGTACAATGATAAGGAGCACAGAAAGAACACCATGTTAGCATATCTTTGGAACAGCATGTGCAACCCAAATGACAATTAAAGGTCTTATAAATTGAAGGTTAAAACTGTTTAACAGATTTAATTTAGAGATTAACGTCTATGCTTTCAAAACAATATGGTTCAACCTGAAACTAAGTAAAAAAGGTAAGGCTGTTTTTAGGCGCATTTTTCCAGATATCAAATCACTTGGGCTAGGCCTTAGTAATGACTGAAATAAATATACCCAATTAATTTGGGAGGTATAACACCTCTAAAATGAACAGCCAGTCTATTTATGACAAAGCAACAAGTTACTCTAAAAGATAAAAATGTAAGAGAAGTTGAAACAGCAAGTTGAAGAATTTTAAGCCAGTGCCAATCTAATCATGGAATCAGTAGCAACGGGAGCTAAGCCAAAATTTACCTAAATAAAGCAAAGAATAGAAACAGATACACTGCTTGCAACATCATACAAAAAACATGATCTAAACCAAAGCCTCATCTTCATCAAAGTAGGGCAAATAAAAGAAACAGGAATGCTTCTTTATAAAGTACCATTTGGAGGCCCTCTCGCTCAAGCATCAATGTTGACTGAACAAGCGATTGAGCCGCAGCATAAAATTGGTTATCAGAAATGAGCTTCCCAATACGAGCAGGAACCTGAACCATGTAACAAACAGAAAAGGTGATGCTTCAGATTACTTGATTTACTGCAGCAACATAGGATTGCATGAAGGAAGTGCAATGTCAAATTCTAACGAAGTTGACACATTTGAATACTAAGAATATATCCTTAGAAAATAATCAACAGACCTTAGCTATGCTCTCAATCTGATCCAACACGGAGATTATGTGACGCAATGTAACAGATCGATACCACAGCTGATGCAATTGTTTATTGCGTACCCCTAGACACTGTTTAGCGTCAGTCAAGTCACCCTTTAAAACGCCAATACTTTCAGAAGATTCGCTGAATAACCGCAAGATCTGTAAAAGAAAGAACAAATAGTAATAAAAAAATGAAAAAGATCACTTTCCTCTTCTAATTCCAAGAAAGAAAGAAATACAAAAGAGAAATTAACAATGACATCAGAAATGAGTGTCTTGATTGAAAACCATCAGACAGATAGAGGGATCTCTAACATATGATTGATAATTAAAGGCATTATTAGATATTTAAATACTTAATCCATGGACATAATTTATATTCTATATTAGAAGTCCAAAATGAGTGTCTTGATTGAAAACCAAATTTATTATTTTACTTTTTCACATCATCTTAATTTTGAATCCAAAATAGATAATTCTTCCTCTTCCCATATATTTAGCCATCTTTAGGCTTCCTAAATTTTAAGGAGGCATCATTTATTGAACTCACTTTGGTCTTACAAAGTATTCATTTTCAAAATTTTTGCTAGCAATTTCTTGTGCATAAATAGAGACCAGCAAGTAAAGCTAATTTTGTAAAGTTAACAAAGCATTCCACGACAACACAAACTAGACAAAATATTGTGGAAGCAAAACAAACGGATATATTTTGAAGAGAGAAATTTTGAGAAAAAACAAAACTAAAACATGAAAAAATAAGGGACAATAATCATGGGGCAGAAGAGTGAGAGTGACACATAAATGGTTAAGAGTCCATTAAAATAAACCAGAGATCATATCCGGAAGAAAATAACTACATAAAATTATCATCCAAGAGGATAACGAAGAATTGCAACTTTTCTCTTCCTAGTATCAGATTGGCAAAACCATAGGATTCAAGTACAAGAACCACAAAAGAGAAACCACAGAAAAGAAATAGCTCTCTTAGTTTAGTAGCATAGCATTTGAAAAATATCTATGGTTTGAGGGAGTATTAAACTTTTTTTTTTTGATAGGAATAGTAGGTCTCATTAAAAACCTACTTCATGATTAATGGAATTTGGGTAAAGTTCCTTAATCAGCGGAAGGAGGAAAAGAGTGCCTTGGAATTCATTAATAATAAGATTAGAACATATGAATACAATGCCTATAGCTCCGTAAAGGAGATCAACAACCTAAATAGTTACAACCCTTAAATACAACAAATGATCAACCAATTCCAGCTTTAGCTAGGGCATCAGCCTCTAAATTAGCTACCCTATTAACCCATCTAATAATACCTTCACACAGTCTGAGTTTTTCAATAATATCTTTAACAATGTAAGCATAAACATCAGGACATGAAATGAAATCCTTAACCCAGTCGACTGCCACCCTGCAGTCACTCTCAATGATTAGGCGTTCGTTGAACCTGTGTCGAATGGTGAAAGAAAGATAAGCCCTTAAGGATAGCCTTCAATTCCATCAAAGTAGGAGGCCCAGGACCTACAGCTTCCTTATATGATCCTACAATCAACCCGGAGTCATCTTTCAAAACACCACCTAACCCACTTCTCTTCCAATCATTCGTAGTAGCAGCATCGACATTTAGTTTGATGAAGCCTTTTGGAGGAGGGGACCAATTAAACACTGTTTTAATCGGTTTAGAGTGAGGAGAACAAGAATCTCCTAATGAAGGATCTGAAATGAGCAAATCCTTAGAGATCGAAACTTGTTTGTACTTAGCTAAATACCACGAAGCCAGCCTGAACCTAGCTAAAAAGAAAAGTTCAGCTTGATCTACCTTTCCTCCTTCAAACACAATATAGTTCCTGAACTTCCAAATGGTCCATAGGACGACCCCTGGAATAAATGACCATATGGTTGAATTAATCCGCAAATCAACCCATGCTAGAAGAAATATTTTTGCGTCCACATGAAAGGCAGACTGAATCTTCCAGAATCTCATGAATTTATTCCAAATAGTCAAAGCCACCGAACAAGTAAAAAATAAATGTGAGGGGGTCTCATCTCTCTGCTTACATAAAGGACACAACAAGTCATCTATACCCTTCATTCCTCTTTCAACCAGAACCGACTTCACTACCAACTTCTGTAGAACAACTTGCCATACAAATGTCTCCACTCTTGGAGGCAGCAATCCCTTCCAAATGACATTCTTCCAGAAATTAACCTCTGCCGAACTAGAGAACCCTGAACAACACTGACTAACACATGATTTGACAGTAAATATCCCGTCTCCAGTGCCTTTCCAAACCAGCACATCAGATGAATCAACTGACAGGGAAAAATTTGAAATGATTGTCATTAAATTAGACCATTGCTCATATTCCCAATCATTCAACTCCCTTCTCAATTGTAAATCCCAAAACCAACCGCTTGAACTGAATGCACCAAACTCAGATAATTTTCCAGTCTTATTTATGGAAATGGAAAACAATCTTGGAAAAATGAGCATTAATGGATGATCCATAGCCCAAACATCTTGCCAAAAATGAATGATACTCCCATCACCTACTTGAAAACTGTAATTGCTTCTGATTTTACAGCCAATAGGGTCTTTTTGAAATGATTGTTCACCAAGGATTTCCATATCTAAGAAAATTTTGGCGTGACCTTATTGTCAAATAGCAATATAGCATAGTCTAAATTGTATTTAGAACAAATCAGTTTCCTCCAATCCACATTCCTTTCATTTGCAAACCTCCAAGACCATTTTTCTAAAAGAGCTATGTTTACCATTTCGATATTTGGAACCCCCAACCCACCTTCGAATTTTGGTTTGCATACAATGGACCAGCCCACCCAATGAATCTTGTTTTTTTCCATTTCCTCCTCCCATAAAAAATTGGACATGATTGAATTAAGTGACTTGTAGACCGAAGCAGGAACTTTAAACAATGACAAATAGTATGTAGGAAGCGAGCATAAGACTGACTTTATTAATACCAACCTCCCTGCCATAGAAAGTGAGGATGCCTTCCAACCCGTCAACTTCTTGTTAAAACTGTGAACCACTGGATCCCACAAAACAAAAGAGTTTCTTTGTGCTCCCAGAGGAAGTCCCAAGTACTCTAAAGGAAAGCTCCCAACTGAACATCCAACAGCCTCTGCCCATTCTCTTACTTCCTCTTCATTCGAATTAACACCAAAAAGTTTATAGACATTTTTAAGTTCAACTGGAGACTAGGCATAACTTCGAAGACCTGAAGAACTCTCTTCACATTCATAACCTATTTCTTAGATGCTCCACAGAGGATTATAAGGTCATCAGCAAATTGAAGGTGAAATAGTTTGAAAGTCCCCTTCTCCCTGCTAATAACCATACCCGAAAATAAACCTACTGAAACAGCTTTAAGGATCATAAGATTAAGAAGTTCCCCTACTATGTTGAATAACAGAGGAGACAAGGAACAACCTTGACGAATGCCCTTTGCCATTGAGAATTCCTCTGAAGGAACCCTATTGACCAAAATTGAAACAGAGGATGTTGTGACACATTTTGAGATCTAGCCAATCCATGTAGAACCAAAGCCCATTTTCCTCATTACTTTGAATAAAATAGGTCAGTCAATTGTGTCATATGCCTTCTTAAAATCAACTTTAAAAACACAGCCCTTTAAACCATTCTTCCTCCAAAAATCAATTCCCTCATTAGCAATTAAAAAACAGTCCAAAATTTGTCGACTGGGGATGAAAGCAAATTGAGAAGGACTGATAATGTCTGAAATGCAGCTCCTTAACCTCCTTGATAGGCACTTTGACAAAATCTTATATAACCCACCTACTAAACTTATAGGTCTATAATCCTCAAGGCCACTAGCATTCGAATTTTTTGGAATAAGAGTGATAAAAGTATGGTTTACACCATGTTCCCACTCTTTCCCCAAATAGAAATTATGAAAAAATCTCATAATATCTTCCTTAACATACCAAAACCTCTTGAAAAAACCCAAATTTAAACCATCCAACCTCGGGGCTTTATTACTGTCACAAGACTTCAAGGTTTCCCAAATCTCGTCCTCAGAAAATTCTTTCTCTAACAACTGATTCTGGTCCAAAGAAATTCTGTTAAATTCCAGCCTTATATCATCAATTTCCAGGGTGGAACGCTCATTGTAAATTTTGAAGAAGTAATCCCATATAGTAGCCTTTATTACATTCGGATCTTGAATAGTCTTTCCCATAATGTTCAATGCATTCAAAGCATTTAGCTTTTTTCTTACCGTAGCACAAGTATGGAAGCATCTTGTATTACGATCCCCATCTTTTATCCACCTTGATCTAGAATACTGGAAACTGATCTGCTCCTGAATTTTATACAACCTCCACAATTCTGCTCTATGAGTGTTCAATTCTACTAAAACTTCTCTGTCTGAAACACCTTGATGTTGTTGTTGGTCGATCTCTAAATTATGAATTTTCTCTTCTAATTTGGAAATCAAAACTCTTGGATACTAATCTCTCTTCTCAGCCCACTTCTTAATTGAACATTTGACATTCTTCAGAATATTAAAAGCACCCACTTTCCTTTGATTTTTCTTTCTGTTCTGAACAGAAGACTTAATCAGATCCTCAAAACCTTCCTTATCCATCAAGTAATTGAATAGTTTGAAAGGTTTTTTACCCCAATCTACATTCCTATTCTCAAGAGTTATAGCATTATGATCTGACACAAACCTTGAAAGAATAGACTGAACTATGTCAGGGAATGCAACCAAAAACTGACTATCAACCAGAAATCGATCCAGTCTTACAAAGGTTGGATTATCTTGGTTATTACACCAAGTAAATCTGCCTCCAATCATAGGTAGATCAATAAGACCAAATTGTAGAATAAACTGACTGAAAATAATCATTGCATTTCTGTTTTGCCCTATGCCAATCTTCTCTTCTTCATGCAAATAAGCATTGAAATCCCCTCCTACACAAACAGGACAATTCTGATCACTTAAGAACAAACTTAGTTCTTCAAAAAAACTATTCTTTTCCTCCTCCACTGATGGATCATAAACATTGATGAAGCCACAACTGAAATTATTAGCTCGAAATTTACCCAAAATGGCTATAAATTTGCTGCTTACATGCTGATTTTCCAATTCAAAAATATTATCATCCCAACAACACAATAAACCCCCTGAAGATACGATCAAAGGAGATTCAATGACACCTCTGAGTTTGTTCAACCCACTCCTTCTAAAAAAGACCTTTGAAACTTCTCTGTCTTTGTTTCTTGCAACCATAGAAAAGTAGGATATATTTTAGAACATAAATTCTGAACAACCCTATTTTTTTCTTTTTTACCCAAACCCCTAACATTCCATGAGCATATGATTAATTTTGTTTTCATCATTCAAACTTTATGAATATCCCCTTAAAAGTCTCCATTCGAACTAATCACCACCTACAAGCTCGCCTTGAATGACCCCTTTCGATACTCTCTCCAAAGTCGTGATTTTTTCCAAAAAGGCTTATTTTCCTTCCTTGAAAGACACCCCCAAAAGCTTACTAACCTCCCATGTAGCTAAAGCTTAAATGCTGGAGAGGAGGTTGTGTCAATCCTCACATGTTCTAGCGCTTCCCTTGTCAAAATTCTTTTGGCTCTTCTGATTAACAAACCAGATTTGAGACTTGAGCAGTCTCCTTCTGAAAACCATCCTTCAATCTCCGTATCCATCATTTCATTCGACGAACCACCAACATTAATAAAATCCTTTTTCCCACTGATAATGTAATCTGCAGTAGAACAAATCTGTTGAGTATCATTAAGATCCGCTTGTATCCCTCGCTGACTAACTATGATTTCCTCATATTCAGGCATGAAATTCAGAATATTCCCATGCCAATGTATCCTGTTCCTCGACCTCTTATATACCCTTTTATAACTACACATACTTCTAGTTTCTTGCATATCAGATTTTGTTTTTAACAACCTTTTGGAACGAATTAACTCTCTGCCCCTTGAGATAATTCCTACATCAAAAGTGTTAGATTTAACCAGCCTTAAATCTGCTTCCATAACTTTTTTCCAGCACCATCGAACTGTTCTTCATTCTGGCTATTCTCCATAACTTCGTTAATTCTGCTGCCATTCTCAGTTGAATTATGATTATGAACCATTTCCCCAAACTTGTTGATTTGGAATGCTGGTCCAATAGAAATAACCTTGAAATCTCTTAGCCCAGGTTGCCCAAAATCCTCAGATTGGGCCTCTGATCCATCAGCTGAAAATTTTGAATTTCTAATGCCTAAACCGGCAAACTCCCCCTCATTTATACTCCCAATGTTATGGCTTTCTGACAACCCACAATTAATGACTTTTCTTAGTAAGGAAAATCTTGGAGACTGTTGTTCCTTACCTGCTCCTTCAGATCCAGAAAAAACTCCCTGGTCGAACCAATTGTCAACTCTTAGCCGATTTTCTACTGCTGCACATGCTGCATCTTTCTCTTTTTCTGACAGTAGGTTGTCTTCTTCATCAGCAGACTTCATCTCTTCAAAAAACCTCCATCGGAACCTTCCACCGGAACATCACTGAAAAAGGAACTTGAAAACTCGCTTGACGATCCAATCTTAATACTGACTTTAAAGGATCTTCCATATGAGCCAAGAGTGATCTCTTCCGGAACATCAAAAGGACTTGCCACCCTCATTAAAAATCTTACCTTTGTGAGATCTTCTCTTTTTCTAGTAGAATCGTGTATGTCAACCAGAGTTCCCCATCTCCCTACAACTTGCTCAAAGAAAGATTCATTCCAGCATAACAAAGGGACCCCAATTAATTCCACCAGACAGAAGGCCATTGGGACACCCTCATCATTCAATAATGGTTCCAGTCGGTCAAACCATTGATTCATTTCCTCTTCATCCATATGTCCATCATCTCCTCGGTTGAGTTAAACACTGTAACGCAAGAGTTCCAAACATGGCCCCATCGAGCAATTTGAACATCAAAACCATCGTTTACTAAGGCCTTCCTAATCAGCTCAATCTGTAATGAGTGTTTAACAATCCCGGTTAATGACCTTTTCACCCAACTTGAACTTTCCGATGGAATAAACATTTCTAAAATGTTTTTCTTGACTTTCCCCCTGTGAAAATCATGTGATAACAGTTCCCTATTCCCCATAGCACTTCTATTTGACATCAAAGCATCTTTGTAAGTTCCGGCATCTCTTATACTTCTGTTAGAGTTATCTACCTCTTTGGACTTTGATGTCTCTGCAATATCCTGACTGGAAACCTTCTTTGAGAACATGTTCATCCCTACTACCCTTGATCGAGATTCCTTGTATCTTGCAGGACTAACTGTGATCTTCTTCCCGTCTATCAATACACCGTTTAAGGTTTCAACAGCCATCTTCAAACCAACCTCAGTCTTAAAATTAACAAAAGCAAAAGTGAAAAATTTGTATTTTGGATTTCTTGTTTCTTTGGGAATAAAAACTCTCACAATAGGATCATGAACAAAGAAAATTTCCATTAAAGAACGACGAGATACCCTCCTACTAAGGTTATCGACGAACGCCGTCCAAACCTCATCGGAAACTGACTTTGCTTTCGAAATTTCTCACTCATATTTTTTCTGCTCTCAATGTAATTCAAAGGAAAAAGTGGAGTATTAAACTTTTATTACTCTTTACTTTCGATTAAATTTTAAGCTATGCTACTTTATTTTTCCTAATTAGAATAGTTTTATCAATCAATAGAGTACTTGAAACTATAAAATTAACATTAAAAGAAGTGCATAATCTCGAACTGATTGCTAGAGTTATTAGTTTTAATATAATTTTGTTGTGGTACTAAAATAACTAGTAAATAGTACCATTTTCCTTAAAATGTCCTATTCTCAGTTCAACCAGTAGGACCAGTCTATTCAATATGATTAGTATTTTATATAATTAGATATTGTTAAGCATCCAACCTAAAACCAGTTGGTAATAGGTGGAGGGGACCAACTTCAACATAAGACCACAAGAAACCTAATATTTAACATATGTTGGACAACTCCACTTAACACTCCCCCTCAATAATTACCATTGCAATTGAACCCATTACGAGGACAATCTTTAGAGAAAAGAAAAAACATTTAATTACCAAAATTCTGTTAATTAACAAAATAAACAACAGTGGTAGGGTTCCTCATTCTTCTGAGAGGTTTGCTAATGTCTTCAGTGTCACCACACTTTTTTTTTTTGATAGAAAGGCCCCATTAAAATCCTCCTTCAATCCCTCCATGTTATGAGAGTAACATGATGGAACAACGAAGGAGGAAAAGAGAGCCAAGAAAACTTTTATTCACAAGAACCAGATTACAAGCTTGAACAAACTCCTACACTTCCAACGGAAGAACATAAAACTTAACACAAACATCCAACAAAACAGGGAGGAACACGACACTTAATTGTAAGTTATTCTTATATGACTGGAGAATTTCTAATTTTTAATCTTTAAGGGTGATAGTCCCTAAAGCATAATAACTACCCTCAAAAGAAACCAAGATTTACCAAAAGAATATGAATTAGCGATAGTGGCTTTTATGACATATAATTATGGTTGTTAATGACTTTTTTCGGTATTGTAATTTTCCAACAAGACTTAAAATAAAAATCATATGATTATAATTTGAAACTACAGAACAATGTTCCGTATTACCTATCCGAGTGTAGACCCAACGTTACCCAAAAAATAGTTACTGAGAAATATATGAACATAGATACCTGAGCCCAGCAGAAAACACCACAATGGTTTTTTAAGCAAATTATTTTCCACTTAACTGATAAAAGATAGTAGAAAAACAAGGACTATGAAACTTGAGAAGCACAATGTGCAAAGCTTGGGAAGAAACCAAAAAAGAACCTGAGAATAATTTTGAATTGCTTTGTTGAAGCCCCCATGGTAAGCATGCACAACTTCATCTACGACATCCTCAACAACATCACTTTGTTCCTTCAAAATCTGGAGCTGACCTTCACGATCTTTTGATGTCAGGATATGGACAACATGGGGTAGTGAATCAAAACGTGCTGTGGCCCAACTCTCATCTATTCTTGAAAGTTCATCCCTTAAATGCTGCATTTAATCATAAGCAATCAGAAGAACCTTGAGAAAATTCCTAAAACATGCAAGGTGATCTAAGAACCATTATTGAAGGTTCATCCCCTAAATACTTTTTTTATAAGAAAAGGACCTCATTAAAAAACCCCTTCATAACTATCAAATTTTGAAAAACTCAACAGTCACTGGAAGGAGGAAAAGAGAGCCCAAAATTTTATTGCATAATCTAAGGTGTACATAAAAAAAAAACCAGATACAAAACACAGTCCCCCATTAAAACACCCAAAACATACACCCATCTCACCGAACGAAAGCACCTCACCTCACACTATCCTATGCCCGATTTAGCTAAACAATCAGCTGCCCCATTAGAACATCTCTTAACATGCCTAGTTATAACATCCCTTAAATACTGCATTTACCACAAGCACTCAGGAGAAGAACCTTGAGAAAGGTAATCGAAGAAATGCATCATTATGTTCTTCCCAATTTATCAAATTGTTCACCGAAACGAGTGCTTGATAACAGTAAACCAAGCTGCCTACCAATCAACAAACTAATACCATCCAAGTAAATAATCCTATTTTAAACCATAGAAACAATCAGAATATTATTCCAACTTCCCTCCACCACCCTCAAGATGATTGCCAAATTTTGAAATAATCATGCCACCATTTTGCTGTTGCTTTATTACTTATTTTTTTACTTCTGTACACAGAAAGAAAGGTTGTTTGAAAACAAAAAGAATAATACTTTCATGAATAATTAAATATTTATTATTATTATTATTATTTTCCCAAAGAACAAAGCACATGAAATTTAAATGTATATAAAAAACTATATTCGTATTAGTGTTAAATTTTAGCCATTTATTCATGGTTAACCAGTCGCAATTTTGTTTTCAACAATCTTTTACAAGCAATAGCAAAACAACGGAGTAAAGCAACAACCTATGCGGCTCCAACTCTTAAACTTGTTAAATTCATTTTCTGAAGTATATGGGTTTGATACATATTCATATATGGGTATAAGAACATGGTTCCCCGAACATCTACCAAAAGCATGTAAAACATAGGGGAAAAATTGAACAACGTGTGTCCGATATATAACCGAATTCGACACTCAATCCAGAGTTCGAGTAACATATGCAACAACTAAATATATCCTAAAATATTAGGACCAGAATAAGAGTGAATTGAAGTTACTTCTTTATCTGGAGGAATGGGAAATCCATCAAACATCCCCATCACAAAAAAGCCTTTCACTTCTCCCACGCTAAAAAAACTGAAAACAGCAACTCAACTAATTGCAACAAAGCCTTTAATCCACCTGAAAGGGAAACTCCAAGAAAATAAAAATAAAAAGTAAACATTTTATTCACTGACAGCTACGTTCTTAGAGCTCAGTGCAAGAAAAGAGAACAGTTGAGCTGAATGTTTATACTAATAATAACAGTAAGGAATTACTAAAAGAAAAAGTGTACACTTCACAATTCCCTTTCCAATCAAGTTATCATGCTTTTACCGGTAACCAAAGGAGAGATATAAAACAAATAAATAAAATCCAAAAATCAAGAGGAACGCGTTCAGATCCAGCACGCATAACACCAGAACACACGAAATTTCAGGCAATGCGAAGTTTGATTAAAATACCGAATAAAGAAAAAGAAACTGAAAAGAAAATTGAAGTTTCAACATGGAAAATTATGTGATTCAAGGAATTAAACAGATCAAATCATTTTTCAGGATTAAATAAAATATCTAAAGCCAGGAAGAACAAGAAAAAGAAGATAATTGGAACCGTGAATCAGTGAAAGAAAAACGAAGGTAAAGTGAGCTCCATTCATCTCCTTCCAGGTTACCTGCTAAGAGCCGTCCTTCAAAAGCGCGTGCCACAGTTGACAGGCCGAGCTCGCGTAAAATTCAGATCCCTACAATTGCAGGAGGAGGAGAAGAAATGTCAAAATCTTAGACCAAGAAGAAAAATATGAGAAACAAAGGAGAAGGAGACCAACTTCTTATTAGAGCTATAATTGTAGGGCAAACTACAGATTTGATCATTTGTATTTGATTTTTCAAGTTTTAAACATTAATTTAAAAAATGTGTACTTTGATCCCTTATATTTTTATGCAAATAAAGCCGCTAATTTTATTAAAAAGAGAAAATATTCAAAATTACAAATAAGTTTGAAAACTAAACACATAATTAAAATATTTTTCTATAACCATTGATTCAATAAATTAATCACTCGAGATCATTCAAGGACCATACAAGGAAAAAAATAAAACTCATCCAAGAAACTCGAACAAATATAACTGCATCGGCAAACGAATCACAACATGAGATTAAACTACTGAAAGACCACCGGTTACTGCATATCAAAATTAATTGTTGTGAGAAACTATCTACGAATTCAAACCGTGTATCAAAGTCCAATCCGAAGGTCCAAAGCAGAAAATATCAACGGAAAAACAAATAAGTATTATCTTAATCAGTTGAGATTATATTAAATCTAACTTTGAAAAGATGGTCAAACGATAAAAAAAATGTATTATAAAAACAGAAAAACTATGTCATAAAGATAAAATTATTAGAAACTAAAAAATAAAAACATAGATAGACATATAGAAAATAAATAAGAAACCAAGATTTCAAGCAGTTGACGATTATTATTAAAACTAGTGTTGTTATTTGTGAAACTAAAATAAATAAATAAAAAAGGAGAGACGACCGGGGGAGGAAATAATAAACGTTAAGGCCCCGTTTGGTTCAGGGTATAATTCATTCATAGGAGGAATGTTTTTTTCCTTGAGAAATATTCCCACGTTTGGATCAACTACATTACCAAGTGCCAGGAAAATATTAAGACCAACAGTGATTTTTTACTCTGTTTTCCCAGGAATATCTATATCCCATCTCCCTTAGGTATTTCATTATTCTCATCCTGTTGTCTAAAATATCCTTCTCCCTACTTCAATCTGGCTAAAATCTTCTTCTCCTTCTCTGTAACACCCCAACCCGTACCCGACCCGGATATGAGTCAGAGATACTACATTGACTTTAAAACATAACTCTTAACCAATAATAGCAAAATATTTGAACTTATATTAAGAAAATACAATAATATACATATTGTAATATAAGTTTATCAAAATGTTCAGAGCATACACAACTTAACCCTTTAATTACATGACAACTGCCATTTACATAACAAAATAACCTACTGATTAAGTTGCTTCTGATCTGGTGGTTGCAGGAGTAATGCTGTCAAGCTGCTTCACCTGTCTCGTCTATTTTCTCGGATCCTACGTGTGAAACACTCACACGCTAAGTCATCGACTTAGTGAGGCAATAATAATAACAAGGCAATGTAATGAAAATGTCATGATCATATGAGATGAGATGCAAACATGTACTTAATCAATGTAGTATACATCATCAATATCCATACCTGTAAGCGTATGACTGTAACATTCATGAATCTGTATTAATAAGTTTATTGGCCTATGATAGCATATTGAGAACCTAAGGTATCTGAGTAATGTGAGGTTGTGCACTGTCACCACAGCTCGTATAATTGCACCGAAGTGCCTCGTAGAATTGCACCGTAGTGCCATATAATGATGTCCATAAGGACCACGTATAATTCCTTAAGAATCATATACATATACTAGGGATCAAGTATGTGTCTTTCCAAGACTTCACACATGTTCCACAGAATATATATATATCCCGAAGGACCGCGTAGAATTGCACCGTAGTGCCATATAATGATGTCCATAAGGACCACATAGAATTCCTTAAGAATCATATACATATACTAAGGATCAAGTATGTGTCTTTCAAGACCTCACACATGTTCCAAAGAATATACATATGTCCCGAAGGACCGCGTAGACCCTCTACCCTTGGCATGCCAACTATACCTATAGTTCTCATCTACATAACATGGGCTTTTACATTTCACGTAGTCTATATCGCGTAGACATGTAATTCCTTACCTTTTCACATAGCTCATAACTTTTCCCACATATTCATGTCATATAATGCATTTTATATGAACTCATGTCATGTCTCATAATACAGAATATGCTCATGTACCAAGATATAAAATCTAGACTTATCACAAGTCTAGAATGAAGTATATTTCTATAATCATGCTATGCATATGCACTCACCTATACTTCTTTGCCTTTTCCTCGATCGATCCTACTTGTAGATTATTCCCGAACTCGTGTAGGCTCGGTATCTACATAATCATAATTTTCAAGATGATCATCAGATGTCTATGTCTTGAAATTAAGCTTTAATAGCTTACTAATTTAAGAAATTAATAGCTTAGTCTTTCTTTTTTTTCTTCTTTTTTTTTCTTATGGGGGAATCGGTTCCCCCCCTGGGGGCATCGATTCCCCTCTAGCATTCTGGAAATTCATATTCGTTGAGGAGGTATCGGTTCTCCTTGAATGGGTACCGATTCCCCTAGCCCGAAAATCCTATTTTGAGCTCGAAAATCCTTTCCTTTCAGCTCAAATATACATATTTCAATCCCTTTAATACTCTTAGCTCTCATACACTTACTTAAACTAATTATTATCCATTCAATACCTCTAAAACTAAGAAAACTACTCATCCATATAGAATTGAAGAATCTTACTCCAATTCCAACTTGTTCTAATTTCAATTCTATTACTTCATACTTCTTAATTAGCTTATTGACAAGTCAAAAATCTTATTCAAACATCAAAAACTCATCCATATCAAAATTTCATCTAAAAACTCATTTTCCAAATCTATCTCTAAAACACTTATCTTGTTGTTTTAATGCCATATAAGCTTTCCTTTAGCTTATATAACATCCAAACTTCCATTTCCAATCTTAAAAATCAAAGAAACTACCAAGGTTCAGATTCTTACCTTTACTTGCAAGCTCCACGTTTGGAGAAGGAAGAGAAGAAGATAAGAAAGAAGGAAGAAGAAATGAGAGAATTCTGGAAACCTAATGCCCCACGTGGGTTCTAATATATCCCCATAACATTTTTTTAATTATAATTTTTCCCTTACAAATGACCATTTGGTCCTTACATCTATTTCATATTTACTAACCATTCTTTTTAAACTATATAATTATTCTACTTTAATCACCAAATGTTGAAACTTTGCAAATTAATCACTAACCCGACATGGAGGATGTTACAAATCTCTCCCCCTTAAGAAAATTCGTCCTCGAATTTTCATTGCACGAACAAATGAGGGTATTGATGTCGCATATCTTCTTCACGCTCCCATGTTGCTTCTTCTACTTTGTGATTTCTCCACAACACTTTGACCAAAGGAATAGTCTTGTTCCTCAATTGCTTAACTTCATGTGCTAAAATTTGAATCGGTTCTTCCTCATAAGTCATATCCGGTTGTACCTCGATCTCTTCTGGATTTACGATATGGGAGGGATCCGATCGATATCTTCGAAGCATTGAAACGTGAAAGACATCATGTATCTTTTCCATCTCAAGTGGTAAAGCTAGCTGATATGCTACAGGTCCTACTCTCTTTACAATCTCATATGGTCCAATAAACCGAGGACTCAATTTTCCTTTTTGACCAAATCTCAACACCTTCTTCCATGGAGACACTTTTAAAAACACTCTATCTCCAACTTGAAATTCAATTTCTTTCCTTTTTAGATCTGCATATGATTTCTGTCTGTCTGCTCCAGCTTTGAGATTACTCTGAATTATCTGGACATTTTCTTCTACTTCATGAATCAACTCAGAACCAAGCACTTCTTTATCTTTGAGCTCGTACCAGTTCAAAGGCGTACGACATTTCCTTCCATAAAGAGCTTCATAGGGAGCCCTTTTAATACTCGACTGATAGCTATTGTTGTAAGTGAACTCTGCCAGCGGTAAATACTTCCCATGATCCTTTAAATTCCATTACGCATGCTCTCAACATATCTTCTAATATCTGAATAGTTCTCTCTGATTGCCCATCAGTCTGAGGATGAAAAGCCGTACTAATGTTTAAACGAGTTCCCAATGCTTCATGCAAAGATTTCCAGAATCTAGAAGTGAATCGAGGGTCTCGATCAGAGACTATGGAAACAGGTACTCCATGCAATCTAATAACTTCTCTAATATACAGCTCTGCATACTTTTCCATAGAGAAATTCGTTCTAACCGGAAGGAAATGCGCTGACTTAGTTAATCGATCAACAATTACCCAGATTGATTCTCTTTTGTTCGGAGTCAAGGGTAACCCCGAAACAAAATCCATCGTAACATTTTCCCATTTCCATTGAGGAATGAAAAGCGGTTGCAATAATCCTGATGGAACTTGATGCTCGACTTTGACTTGTTGACATATCAAACACTTAGACACAAATTCGGTGATGCTTCGTTTCATCCCTGACCACCAAAATCGATCCTTCAAATCCATATACATCTTGGTTTCACCCGGGTGTATCGTTAACGGACTGCAATGAGCCTCTGATAAAATTTCTTTCTTCAAGTCGTCATCGTCGGGTATTACAATTCTTCCTTTACAATATAGATTTCCATCTGACTTAATCTCAAAGTTTTTAATCTCTTTGTTCTTTACTTGTTCAATTCTTTTCAAACACATTTCATCTTTACTTTGCAATTCTCCTATCCGTTCCAACCATACTGGTTTAAGGGTTAATTCTGCACAAAGACCACCGTCTCCCGTTAAAGATAATCTTGCATCTATAGCTCGTAAAGCTGCAAACGTCTTTCTACTCAGAGCATCTACTACCACATTAGCCTTTCCGGGATGATAGTCAATTATCACATCATAATCCTTTAAAAACTCTACCCATCTACGTTGCCTCAAATTCAATTATTTTTGAGTCATCAGGTACTTCAGGCTCTTATGATCCGTATATAAGTAACAACGCTCCCCATAAAGATAATGACGCCAAATCCTGAGAGCGAATACTACAGCAGCCATTTCTAAATCATGAGTGGGGTAATTCCTTTCATGTGGT